CTATAACAAAATATATTTTATGCGACATTACGTATTCTAATAAATATAATTGGAATAATATTATAATTTTACTTATTTTTTACGGCATCATATTTCATTTTTTCTTTTGTATTTCTTAAATAAATATTCTAGTCTGTGCCGTTGCCGGCACTGGGATCTGTTTTTCCGCCGGGGATCAAGGGATCATCAACACTCGCGAATCTGTTTTTAAATTAATCACTTTATTTCAAATAAACTCCAAATTTAAACGTACAATGGTTTTAATTATTTAGCGCGCATTGACAGTGAATATTTTACGCGAATGGAACTTTAGACTAATCGCTTGTTAACTTGAATATAACTCGTCTATTCTAAAGAAAAGACTGTCCACTGCTTCGTCTTTTTTTCTCTATTTATTTGGCGGGCTCGATGTCCTGATACTGAATCGGTTGTCAGCGTTCTTACTATAAGAGACATTATTAATAATATAACACGCAAGGCCATGAATCAAGCAGCGAACTACAGGGCAAACTAGAAGAAATTCGCGAAATAAATCGAAGAAAATTTTATCCGATTTTTCTCTTACGTATTAATGGTTGATAAAATGTTGCCTTTAATCTCTGGCAAAGAGATTATATCATTATAGAAGTATAGGCTATCGTAAATTATTATAATCTTAAATACGAAATTATATATTATGCAGTTAAATATAAAGTTACGATGTGTTAGAGAGAAAAAAATTTGCTTTGTAAGAAAGAGAGAGAAAGAGAGAGAGTTTACGAATGTAAACTCTTGAATAAGAGGAAGTTTGGAAATAACTGAAGAAATTTAACAGATTCGATTTACACATTTATTCTATACTAGCTTGATACCCGTGCTTCACTACAGTAACACATATTTTATTCTTTTCATCCTCTTAGGGATCGAATTTCTAAAAATCCCTTCTTAGTGAGTGCTTATATACGTCATAGAAGGAATATACTCCCCGAATTTCATGTTTCTAAGTTTCTAAATTTAGGGGTTTGGGTGTTGATGAGTCGGTCAGTCAGTCAGGACATTTGTTTTTATATATATATATATATATATATATACTTTATGTATTTCGCCCATCAGCGTTATATTTATATGCGTGCATATGTCATTGATACAGATTATATGTTTTAGTGCAGAGTTTCAGTACTGGTTCTGGCTACGTCAGAGACAGTCTGATTATTTTCCGTCTGATCCGTCATCACGTTGTACTGGTTGCCATTAACATACTGTTCTTCTGGGTACTGCGAAGGATCGTATTCGTCGTACTGATTATGGTCATGGTCCATCATGTAAGCTTCCATGTTTGGATCATTTGCCATGTACTGTTCATTATTTCGAACGTCTCCTTGCTGCTGATACACCTCCGCAGTTTCCGCCGTGCTCGGTGCAAAGTTATTCTGATCGCTCGATAAGCCATACAAGTCGCCCTGCATTTGGTCGTTTCTCTTCGGCGCGTTCGAATACTGAATTTCCGACCCCTGACCCGCCACTTGTTGACCGTTCGCTGTATCGTATTCCTGATGGGTCATTCGTGACGCTGAAGCACCAGTCGGCAACCCGTTCGTATGCGGCGAGACTACTGAATCCATCGTAGCGTTATAATGAAAAGCTCCAGTATCATCGTTAGCTTCCACAACAATTCCTCCTGGAAGGTAATCTTTGTTAGTCGACGTACGCGCGAATTTGAATTATAGATTCACGTGCGAATTAATTGAAAAAAATTAATACCTGCGTGACTTACAAGGCTGCCTTGTATTTTACTTGACAATTGTTCTATGTTGCTTTGTAAGCCGGCCATTTCTTCCCTGTGATAAAACGTGTAAACGGGTTTAACAGATACGGGTTTAACAGATACTCAAAAAGTTAAGTTTCAACTATATTAGCGGAAAATCAATGTCACATCGAGCGTAATATAATGTAATTATCGCATTTGCGTTAGGACACACTCTCGCTATTACTGTGCTGATAGAGACGTTTTGGAGGTGTCGGACTTCTTTTTCGGAATTACTTTTACTTTTAGATCAACCTTAACGGTACGTTTCTTGCTCGAAGGGGAAGCGGTTTGCCCAACCGTTGTCGCATCTCTCTCAACGACCCCCTCTGTCAACACAGAATAGCCCCAGATATAGTGAGAAGTGGTGCGTTCTTATCTACTAATTGGCATCGTAATAAACGCGCGCGTAACAACGAGTGTTGATACGGGCTATAAATCAAGCTATCCGTGTTTGGGTCTGACTAATCGAGAGAATCAAAACTAAACTAAGTAAAACGTCTGCTCAGCCTGAAGGGGAAAAACCACTTTGAAATTTAAAAAAATCGATTTTATTTTAATATCCTCTGAAAGTTTGGTGTCAAAATTTGAAGAATTAACAATGTAGATTTTTCCGTGAAAAGCAACTCCGAGCGCCCGAGCGGTCAAGCAGCCGGTAGGCACGGAACAAGTTTACGAATTCCTCCTATTTCGTGAATTTCCGAACTTATTGTTTGTACTCGTCCTCTTTATTTCAGAGCTTTCGGGGATCTCGATTTTGTATATTTATTTTGCTAGTATTCTATAAGAGACTGTTAGACAGAGAATCCGAAACTTTGATCGCGTTTATCTCGAAACAATATTTTTCAAACTGGTTGGCAAATTATCTCGAAAAATATTGATCCAATCGAGACCAGAAAAATTGTGAAACATTTGTCAAATAAAATTGAAAATTGGATTTTTAAAGTGCAAAAAAGAGGTTAAAAATAAGATTTAGACTTTTTTAAAACTTTTATAACTTGTATAATTTTTTGAAATTTAAAAATCTAATTGTAAGTACAAACATAGCTAGGGACCTATATTTTAAGAATCCTTTTCGTTTTTTTTTTATTGCAGATCAACCATTTGGCCGAAAAATTACCAACCAGTCAAATTAACTTATCGTATTGATTTTTTTATATGTGCATGAAAGGTGTACTTTCTCAAGTCAAAACCGATTTTTATTAAGATCTGTAATTTTCTTTTATAAAATTTACAAGGGACCCCTATTTTTCCGATCGCTGCAGTGGTTTTCTCCCTGAAGCTACGTGCTTTATATATTTCTCATTCGGTTTCTGCGAGTCGGACTAAGAATATACTTGTGTTTAAGATTGTTAGCTTCCAAACGCTGTGTGAGAGATTGGCATTCGGCGGTCAATCTCGAGACGAGCGTGGCCTGATTACTCAGGGCGTCTTCTAGGCCCGCCACCGTGGCAGCTGCGAAATTTGGTTGCCTTGGTCAGCCTGTTGCGATTGTTAATTGACTAAATCTCAATCTCCGCCTATGCTAGGCATATATACTGTCAGCATGCCGATTTCTCACACATAAAGATAGTACTCTCTTAAGTCCATATAGTCAATTGTCAACAATAACACTTTTACACGGACAATATACCTAACATAGGCATACCTAAGGGCGATATCTTACCATGCTTAGTCTCCATATTCATTATCATGGACGTTAATTCCTTCTCCTTTTCCAATCTAGGCGTAGTTTCGCTACGATTCTCTTCGGATCGTACAATCTTACTCATACTGATCTGAAAACATATACCAGAACTTTATTTTATAATATCTCATTACATATTTCGCTGAAATTTCTTATATCAGTGTTTCTTATATCTCTTTTAATTACCAGGGGTACTCAAAAGTTTCCGGAATTCAAATCTCTCGTGCGAACTGGAGCCAGTTTAATGTTGTGCAGCTAAATATCACGAGACTTCAGTATCGCGAAACAGTCTGCTATGTGGCATATTATACTGAGAAGATCGTATCGTATTGAACGTTTTTCTGCACTATGCAATTTGTATTTGGTGATCTTTTTGTGAAATGGAAATAATTGACTAATATTTGGAAAAAAAAACAGCAAGTGTGTAAAATTTCGTTTCTTTTTAAATAAACTTGGTTAAAACTGTTCAACTGAGACTGTCGCAATGCTCAAGAAATGACTTTAAAGATAATTCCATGAAAAGAAAATTACGGAAAAGAACGAAAAAATTCATACAAAATTAAAAGCATAAAATATAAAAATGCTATTTTTTAAAACAATTCGAAAAACTTTTGAGTACTCTATAATTTATTTGATAATACACATGATATATGTATTGACGTATTGACTATTAAAGTGACATTCAAGATATTCACCTCTTTCTCCAAAGATGCTATTTGCTCCGACAGTCGTAGGTTTTCTCGTCTGCAATGTACCAGATCGGCGTCCGCTCTTTCCAGACGCTGCTTGTACGAATTTATCTCTGCCTGCAATCTACTCTGCTCCTGACGAGCCTGCCGGTCGCTTCGTTCGGCCGCCAGTTTACCAGTTAAGACCTCTTGTTCCGCCGCGTCTTTCTCGCTTAACGCTTGGTTAAGATCGCTCTGTAAGGTGGCTAAACAAACCGATTGAAAATATTTCTTAGTTTGTAATTTTACATAAAATAAATAGATCTCCTACGGTTTTAAAAATTTATTTATAAACCCTACGCTGTCGTTCGGGCAACATAAACCTACATATCTTATTTTGCAGCTCTTTTTTCAGATTGTCCATGGCGGTTTGTTTCTGTGACAATTCTCGTCTCAATTCGTTTATCTCTCGCCGCTGTTTCTCAGACTCCAGCTGCGACTTGTTGGTGGTCTCCCAATTGGTCGCGATATCGGCGGTGAGTTGCTCGATTTGCTGATTGTATCGACGCTCCACTTGCTGCCTCTCCTCGGTTATACGTCTGTTCGCATCCTGGGCCGCCTCCCGCAGCTTCTCATGTTGCCTCTCCAACTCGTCCTTCAATCGCCGAATCTCCATCTCGCTCTGATTCCTCTCAAACTCGATCTCCTGCCTGTCGCCCATAGACCGTCTCGCTCTCTGCGTCGCCTCGGTTTCCTTATCCCGCGCGACCGACAGCAGCTTCTGCGATTCCTCCAGCTTCATCTCAGCCTCGTACTTGGCGCGCAGAGCCTTATCCAATTCGGCCCTCAATTCGGCGTTGCTCTCGCTCGAACCGCTCTCGGACAAACGTTTCAAGTTCGCCTGATTCTCCTCCTGCGCCTTTCGCAACTCCAGTTTGGCCTGGGTCAATTGCGCCTCCAGCTCGCTGATTCTCGACTCGAACATTATACTGGGTCCCTCCAAGAATTTCTCCCGTTTGCATTCTAAAGTATTATCAACGTGACCGCCCTCATCTTGCTTGTGACACTCGTGATTCACCCCACAGCGATCTTTATGATCTTGCATAACGCACTTGGACAATGCAACTTGATTCCTGCTATGCAACGCCTCGTTTTCGGCTACGACCTATGAAAAGCCATGGTAATTGAAAAATGTTATCGCGCGCGCCCATTTCTGCTCAGCTGCTCAGCATTACTCAATTAGGAAGAAAGTTATACCTCGCGAACTTTGCTCAACAGATTCATCAGCTCATCTCTACAGTATTGAGACTCTCGTTCCAATTGCTCGATATAATCCTCCTGCCGTTCGATAAAAGACGTTAACTCCGGAGGAATGGATTGAAGATCGGCTCTCGACAACGCTATATTACTGTACGCTTTTGACGACTGAATAGTTTTCGAGAGAGGTGGGTAAGTGTTTAAAGCTGCGTTTCTGGAGAGATCCTTTCTTCGGAAACTATCACTGATCATACTTTGATCGTCGGTATCCTCTCCAGATTCACTAATTCGCGGATTACTGCTTTTGTATATGCTACGAGCACTTCGCTGCTTTCTGCATATAGAAATTGTTTTTATCTTACTTTATTATCCGTAAGAGAGAATATGCAGAAAAAATCATTAAAAGTAAAAGACTTACGGAATAAAGAATAATAAGTGAAACAGGATCGAGATATGAATCTTACAATTAATTAAAGAAGATTTAACCCGATCGAAAATGGCATCTTCTTTAATCAATTGTACTTATGAAATAATTCGGAAGAGAGATAGAGAGAGGGGGGAAAGAGGAAATAAAGGAGGAAAAGAAAGAGAGAGAAAGTTAAAAGTCTATTAAATAACAATACAGTGCCAGATAGTATTTTAATTGTAGACTGTGCAGTCAATACAAAATTAAATTTTATGCAACACGTGCATGGAAAGTGCCCCATTGCGCACGCTACGCGTGCGTGATAGACCACTTTCCAGGCACTTGCCACAT